AATCGAGCCGGTTCCTCCAGCCGAGATGGAGAGTGGGTTTTACAGCCCATACTTCATCGTACCCAAAAAGAGCGGTGGGTCACGGCCAATCCTAGATCTGCGCGTTTTGAACCGCTGTCTGCACAAGCTGCCGTTCAGAATGCTCACGCAGAGGCGCATTCTCCAATGCGTTCGTCCTCGGGATTGGTTTGCAGCCATAGACCTGAAGGACGCGTATTTCCATGTCTCCATTCTTCCACGCCACCGCCAATTTCTGCGGTTTGCGTTCGAGGGTCGAGCGTGGCAGTACAAGGTCCTCCCCTTCAGGCTCTCTCTGTCTCCGCGGGTCTTCACCAAACTCGCGGAGGGTGCCCTAGCGCCCCTTCGGCTCGCGGGCATTCGCATACTCAATTATCTCGACGACTGGCTGATTTTAGCCCACTCGTGGGAGCAATTGATTATGCACAGGGACGAGGTGCTTCGGCATCTCCGCCTACTGGGGCTTCAGGTCAACCGAGAAAAGAGCAAACTCGCCCCCGTGCAGAGGATTTCTTTTCTCGGGATGGAGCTGGACTCGATCACCATGGTAGCGCACCTCTCGGAGGAACGCGCTCGCCTGTTGCTGAACTGTCTGAGGGAGCTCGACAGCAAACTAGTGGTCCCACTGAAGTTCTTTCAGAGGCTCCTGGGGCATATGGCATCCGCAGCCGCCGTCACGCCGCTCGGGTTGCTCCATATGAGACCACTTCAGCACTGGCTTCACGATCGGGTCCCCAGACGCGCATGGCACGCGGGCACACACCGGGTCTCGGTTACTGCGCTGTGTCGCCGCGCCCTCAGCCCTTGGAACGACCCCTCGTTCCTACAGGCCGGTGTGCCTCTAGGACAGGCGTCCAGCCATGTTGTTGTTTCAACAGACGCTTCCAACACGGGTTGGGGGGCCGTGTGTCGCGGGCATGCGGCTGCGGGCCTCTGGAAGGGTGCCCAGCTGCATTGGCATATCAATCGCCTAGAGCTGTTGGCAGTGTTCCTCGCTCTCCACCGCTTTTTACCGGTGCTGGAGCGGCAACACGTGCTGGTCAGGACGGACAGTACGGCGGCGGCGGCGTATATCAACCGCATGGGGGGTATGCGCTCTCGCCGCATGTCTCAGCTCGCCCGCCGTCTGCTCCTCTGGAGTCACCCGCGGCTGAAATCGCTGCGCGCCATTCACGTCCCAGGCACGCTCAATCGTGCAGCCGATGCGCTCTCACGACAGCTGTTACGCCCTGGAGAATGGAGACTCCACCCCGAGTCTGTTCAGCTGATATGGGCGCGATTCGGGGAGGCCCAGATCGATCTGTTTGCTTCCCCCGAGAACGCTCACTGCCAGTTGTTTTTTTCCCTGACCGAGGGCTCTCTCGGCACGGATGCACTGGCCCACAGCTGGCCTCGGGGCATGCGCAAGTATGCGTTTCCCCCAGTGAGCCTGCTCGCGCAGTTTCTGTGCAAGGTCAGGGAGGACGAGGAACAGGTTCTGCTAGTTGCGCCCCTTTGGCCCAACCGGACCTGGATATCAGAGCTCTCACTCCTCGCGACAGCCCTCCCCTGGCGGATCCCTTTGAGAGAGGACCTACTCTCTCAGGGACAGGGCACCATCTGGCACCCTCGCCCCGATCTTTGGAACCTCCACGTGTGGTCCCTAGACGCGAGGAAGACTTAGGTAACCTACCGACTGCGGTGGTTAATACCATCACTCAGGCTAGAGCCCCCTCCACGAGGCGCGCCTACGCCCTGAAGTGGAGTCTATTCACTGAATGGTGCGTCTCTCGCAGAGAAGACCCCCGAAATTGCCAGATTAGTGTTGTGCTCTCTTTCCTTCAAGAGAAGTTGGACAGCAGGCTGTCGCCCTCCACTCTCAAGGTTTACGTGGCCGCCATCTCCGCTTATCATAGCGCGGTAGCTGGCGGCACCGTGGGAAAGCATAACCTGGTCATCCAGTTCCTTAGGGGTGCTAGGCGAATTAATCCATCTCGCCCCCCTCTCATGCCCTCTTGGGATCTCGCCCTCGTTCTCACGAGTCTGCGATCCGATCCCTTTGAGCCACTCGAATCAGTATCTCTAAGATTTCTGTCCCTGAAGACAGCTCTGCTGGTTGCGTTGGCCTCCATCAAGAGGGTCGGGGACCTGGAGGCATTTTCGGTCAGTGACTCGTGCCTGGAATTCGGGCCGGATTACTCTCACGTTATCCTGAGACCCCGCCCCGGTTATGTGCCCAAGGTTCCTACCACCCCCTTTAGAGATCAGGTAGTGAACCTGCAAGCGCTGCCCCCGGAGGAGGCAGACCCAGCCCTTTCTTTACTTTGTCCAGTTCGCGCTCTGCGCATTTATGTGGACCGTACTCAGAATTTTAGATCATCTGAGCAGCTCTTTGTCTGTTATGGCGGTCGGCAGCAGGGAAGTGCCGTATCGAAACAAAGATTATCCCACTGGATTGTGGATGCCATTTCACTCGCTTATTCGAGTCGAGGTCAGCCGTGTCCCCCGGGAGTACGTGCACACTCCACTCGGAGCGTTGCATCCTCTTGGGCGCATGCACGCGGCGCCTCTCTAACAGACATCTGTAGAGCTGCGGGCTGGGCGACACCCAACACATTTGCAAGGTTTTACAATCTGCGAGTGGAGCCGGTTTCCTCAAGGGTATTAGGTAACCCTTTGGTGATTGAGGAGACAACTCGGTAGGGTGTTGAAACACGCTTGCTGCGCCATTCTCCCTAACACGGAGGTACGTGCGCCTTTTTTATCTGTCAGTAAAGTTCCCCGTCAGGTGAGCCCTGCAGATTCCTCCGTGGCCCCCAGCACTGACTCAGCGGAGGAGTCACTTGCTGGCCCACTACGTTGTAGGTCTGCCCGCTGGTCAGCCCGCGTTTTGGGTATAGGTGCCTGCTATGCGTGATCCCCACTAGGCGATCCCATATGCTTATTCCGCCACGGTTAAGTCCCCCCCCTGGGCGGACCCGTGTCTTCCCTCTCCGCTAACCACTCTTTGCTATGCGTACTCCCCCTTTTTAGGGCTAGTCCATAGGTAAATTCTGCCATCTATCCCCCCCTTGGGTAACGGATGGCCTCCGCAGCGTCCTCCCTATCGGGATTGCACGCTTCCCAACGTACTGTCGTATTTCCTAGAATTATCTAGATGCTCACGACTTCCCAAAAAATATATCTAAATCCGTAAAACTTCTGTTGAAGTAGGATAGATTAGGGCCAGGGACACGTTGGAGGACCGCGCCCCCCATGATGTGGGTGCGTCACGCTTGCTTGACTATCTCCTCATCGGGGGTGTTGGTAAGGTGCAGTCATTATGGCGCTTTCCATATTCTCCCATTCATGGCACTGAAGTTCCCTAACCGAAGGGGAACGTTCGAGGTTACAGAAGTAACCCTTCGTTCCCCGAGGAGGGGAACGGAAGTGCCATATTCCGTCGCCATAATGACTGTCCCTTAGCTGTTTGAAAGTCTCTTCAGCTTAAAAGGATGGCGTCTGCTGGCTTCAGGTGTGCTTATATGCTGAGATGATTGCAGATGTCGCACACCTGCGCAAGCTTACGCTGCCAATTAATTTCATTCATTGGCCCGTTCAATACTCTACAGATAAGCGGCTTCTGATCCGAATCCTCCCATTCATGGCACTTCCGTTCCCCTCCTCGGGGAACGAAGGGTTACTTCTGTAACCTCGAACGTTAACAGTATTCAATGCATTCAGACTTTGAGACGAAGCATGCATATAAATAACATCACCGTAGTCTAATATCAACATAAATGTTGCATCAACCAACTTCTTTATAGCATCAAAATAAAGGCAGATCTTAATGCTAAAATGGAAGCCAAGATCACTTTGAATTTGTTTTTTATGTTGGGATTAAGGCAAAAGATGCCACCAAAATTGTTCCTTAGAATACTCTACTGTACTGTCCTAGAGCAGTGTTTCTCAACCACGTTCCTGAAGGACCAACAACACTGCATGTTTTGGATGTCTCCTTTGTCTGTCACACCCATTAGTCAGTCAGTGCTAATGAGCTGATGATCTGAATCAGGTGTGTTTGGTTAAGGAGATACAGAAAGTGTGCAGAGCTGGTGGTCCTCCAGGGATGTGGTTGAGAAACAGTGTCCTAGACCAGGGGTTCCCAAACTTTTCAGCCCGCGACCCCCAAAATGACAATGCCAGTGACTCGTGACCCCCAATATTCTCTGAGGTGGTGGTAAATACAGAAACCTTGTATGCAATGACACGCACAAACACACCAATAGACCCAAGTCTATTCTTTGTTTTTTTTATGTATGTCAGTGCTGTAAATGAGCTAGAAAGTTTAACCTGGTGTTACAAAATCTGCTGCATCTGACAGTATTGCTGTGTCTTTAGTATAATGTAATTACCCGAGAAGTCGCAATCCAATACAACTAGTAACTATAAGCTACTATAGTAACTATATAGTTTACAGTAACTGTAAACGACTATTTTTTTTCTCTTCAGTAGGTTATTGATAAAATACAGTAAGTCTTAAGGTTTAATAAAAATTAATTGATTTTTGGAAATCACCAGGCGACCCCCCCTTCATTGTCCCGCGACCCCTCGGGGGGTCCCGACCCCCACTTTGAGAACCTCTGTCCTAGACTATACTACAGAATACTCTAAGAAACAGCATCTGATATAATGTGATGAAGTATATTGAATTAGAAGTCAGAATTATTTGCCCCCCTGTTGAATTTTAATTCTTTTATATTTTTTCCCCAGTTAAGAGGCTAATAATATTGACCTTAAAATGGCTTTAAAACAATTAAAAACTGCTTTTATTCTAGCCGAAATAAAACAAATACGCCTTTTTCCAGAGGAAAAAATATTATCAGACATACTGTGAAAAATTCCTGAATCTGTTTAACATCATTTGGGAAATATTTGAAAAAGGAAAAACATATACAGGGGGGCTAATAATTCTGACTTCAGCTGTATATACTGTACTGATGGATGTGTGTGTTGTGTTTCAGTCGGTGCTGACTCTGGCGATGTCCTACATGGTCGGAGTGATTTCCAGCTTCTACGACACTGATATCGTGATAATGGCGATCGGCATTACAGTGGTGGTCTGCTTTACTGTCATCATCTTCTCCATGCAGGTCAGAGGTCAACTCATTATCGGTCAATCAAACCTTCATTTAATGCTACTTTGACTTTTAGTTTCACTGAATGTTTAACAAGAGTAGGACTTTAATTATTAGACTATTAATTATTGTAGTTTTGTTAGTGTTTTGAGTTTGAGATAATAGATGTATAGATATGCTTTATTCATTTATAATAATATAAAAATATAATATAACTAATTTAAAACAAATTAATGTTTAATGTTTTATATAATTTAAGTTAAACTAGACTAAATTTGATTTATTTAATGTTTAGTTTGTAAATATTTACTTTTGATAATTTCTTTAGATATTATTATTATTATTAAAATGTTGTAAGTAAAAATACTTTGTTTTACTTCAATTTTAGTTATTTAAAATAAAAAAAAATATTTTATTGTGTTTTAATCTTTATTATGAATAATTTTTTTAATATTATTAATATTAAACATTTTGTAAGTAAATTATATTTATTTGTTAGTCTTCTGTTTTGATTAAACTAATCAATTGTTTTAAATTTTTTGTTTTGTTTTAATGTTTACTCATTATTTTAAAATATTTTAAAATAATAATAGCTATAATAATGCTGTTAGTTTATTGCAGTGAAATACGATGTTTAATCAATTATTTTAGTCAATATTTAATTTATTTCATGTAATAAAAATGTTTAATTTTGTTCTTCACTTGTTGGCATGACTCAAATTGTGCAAAAACACACCCGAAGTATTTCTGCTTTACTTGTATTTATTTATTTTTGTAGATACTAGATAATGTTATCGTGAAGCAATAAAAGTCTAATAAACAGCATAATGCCATGATTTTAATATTTCTCTTTTGTCCAATAACAGACCAAGTATGACTTCACTTCCTGTTACGGGGTTCTGTTCGTTTGCGGCATCGTCCTGTTCGTCTTTGGGATCCTTTGCATCATCTTCTATAGCAAGATTATGGACCTCATTTACTCCACCCTGGGAGCTCTTTTATTCACCTGCGTGAGTTTTAAATACATAAATACATACATACATACATACATACATACATGCATGCATACATACATACATACATACATACATACATACATACATACATACATATAGAAAACATAACACTTTATTTGTATGAACCATTTTCGTATAAACCAAGTAAAACTTTTTAAAGTTCAAGATGTATTAAATTTTCATACAAATGTATTTTAATAAATACAAAACAACATTATTAAAGGACGATATATTTTGTGTAAACTAATATAAGGATGAGATATTTAGGAGTGATACGTTTTCTTAGTAAACAAATTTATTTTGTTTGTAAACAAATTTAGGGGCATTGTTTTTGAACAAGGGAACGGGATGTTATATGATTGAACTACTAAATAAAAATTAAAAATAAAATCTTTATGCGCCAAGCAGATATTTTAGACATTTTTTATATATATACAGTGCATACGTAAAGTATTGATATCCCTTCACTTTTTCCACATTTGATTGTGTTACAGTCTTATTCCAGAATAGATTAAATTCATTGATTTCCTCAACATTCTACACACAATCCCCCATAATGACAATGTGAAGAAAGAGTTTTAGAAATTGTTGCAAATTTATTAAAAACAAAAAAGCTGCAAAATCAGATGTGCATCAATAGTCACAGCCTTTGCTCAATACTTTGTTGATGCACCTTTGGCAGTGATTACAGCCTCAAGTCTTCTTAAATATGATGCCACAAGCTTGGCTCACCTGTCCTAGGGAATTTGTGCCTGTTCCTCTTTGCAGCACCTCTCAAGCTCTATCAGGTTGGATGGGAAGTGACGGTGTGCAGCCATTTTTAGATCTCTCCAGAGATGTTCAATAGGATTTAGCTCTGGGCTCTGGCTGGGCCACTCAAGGACATTCACTGAGTTTTTGTGAAGCCACTCCATTAATATTTTGGCGGTGTGCTTTGGGTCTTTGTCCTCCTGGAAGATGAACCGTTGCCCCAGTCTGAGGTCAAGGGCACTCTGAAGCAGGTCTTCATTCAGGACGTCTCTGTGCATTGCTGCATTCATCTTTCCCTCTATCCTGACTAGTCCTCCAGTTCCTGCTGCTGAAACACATCCCCACAGCATGATGCCAACACCACCATGCTTCACTGTAGCGATGCTGTTAGCCTGGTGATGAGCGCTGTCTGCTTTTCTCCAAACGTAACGCCTGGCGTTCACTCCAAAGAGTTCAATTTGAGTCTCATCAGAGCAGAGAGTTTAGTTTCTGATGGTCTGAGAGTCCTTCAGATGCCTTTTGGCAGATTCCAGACGGGGGGTGTCTTCCATCTGGCCACTCTACCATACAGGCCTGATTGGTGGATTGCTGCACAGATGGTTGTCCTTCTGTAAGATTCTCCTCTCTCCACAGAAGAACGCTGGAGCTCAGACAGAGTGACCATCAGGTTATTGATATCCTCCCTGACTAAGGCCCTTCTCCCCTGATCACTCAGCTTAGATGGCCGGCCAGCTCTAGGAAGAGTCCTGCTGGTTAAACATCTTCCCCTTACAGATGATGGAGGCAGATGTGCTCAATGGAACTTTCAGAGCAGCAGAAATGTTTCTGTAACCTTCCCCAGCCTTGTGCCCCGAGACTATCCTGTTTCGGAGGTCTACAGACAATTCCTTTGTCTTCATGCTTGGTTTGTGCTTTGACATGCACTGTCAGCACTGGGCCCTTATATAGACAGGTGTACGCCTTTTCAGATCATGTCCAACTGAGTTGAGCACAGGTGAACTCCAATGAAGCTGCTGAAACATCTCCAGAGTGATCAGTGGAAACAGAATGAACCTGAGCTTAATTTAGAGGATGTACATCTGATTTTTCACTTACAAACATGGGCGATTATATTTAGTTTGTAAACCAATTTATTTAGATTGTACGTTTATTTAAGGGCGATATATTTAGTTTGTACACACATTTACATAATAATATTGAATTAATATGCATATAATTTATGCATATTAGTGTTTTTAATTGTAAACTATTTTAAGATTGAACTATTTATTGTGCATTATGATTTAATATATGTAACTTTAACTTTATTTATTTGACATTATAACTAAATTATGCATCTTTTGTATTTATTTTGTAATTGTTTTGTTTAAATTGATGATTGTTTCCTGTCTGCTGTTCCAGTTTCTGGCGGTGGACACGCAGCTGCTGCTGGGGAACAAGAATCTGTCTCTGAGCCCGGAGGAATACATCTTCGCTTCCCTCAATCTCTATCTAGACATCATCCAAATCTTCCTGTTCATCCTGAGGATCCTGGGACGGAGCCGCAGCTGAAATCACCATCAATTCATCTTTACACATGCTGAGATCAGTAACTAACTTTCACCATATTCACTGTAGTTAAAGAGTTTCTACTTCCTGAAAACATGATGATGATGACCATGTGAAACTGTCATACTTTTATACGTCCTCATGTTATTAATATAGTCTCATTCCTTTCTTCGTCTGTGTGTGTGTGTGTGTTTGTATGATTATGTATGTTTGTGTGAGTCTGAGTTTGTGTGTGTGTATATGCGAGTGTGTGTTTTTTGTTTGTGTGTGAATTTGTAAGCGTTTGTGTGTGCGTTTGTTTTTGTGCATCCATTTATGTGTGCGTGTTTGAGCTGGCATGTTTGTGTGTGTGTGTGTGCGCACGCATGTGTTTATGTTTCTTTGCGTGTGTGTGTTTGTGTGCATTTGTGTGTGTGTGTTGTATTAGAGATGTCTTTGGGTTCTGTTTTCTCTTTCAGAAGGGAATAAAGTCATTTTTATGAACACATTCACTGTGTTTCGTGTTTGTTTTGATCTGGTGGAGATGGTTATTTTGGTTAGTGATGTCGTCATCATCAAAAATGTCATTATTATCATCTTAATTATTATTATCATCATCATAATCACTAAAATATTATTAAAACATGAATATTAATAGAAATAGTAACTTTTCACTCTTATTTCTACTGTAAAAATATGCACGTTCATACAATTCCTTAATGTTCAAAATCAATTAAAAGTGGGTTGAGCGTAAAACATTAAGGTTGTCTCAAATTAATTTTTCCAACTTGCACTAAAACGTACATTTTAAACAATAATACAATATTACATAGGGGCGTCACGGTGGCGCAGTGGATAGCACAATCGCCCCACAGCTGTAAGGTTGCTGGTTCCAGTGGCGGCTGAGTCAGTTGGTGTTTGTGTATGGAGTTTGCATGTTCTCCCCGTGTTGGCGTGGGTTTCCTCCGGGTGCTCCGGTTTCCCCCACTGTCCAAAGACATGCGCTATAGGGGAATTGATGAACTAAATATGCTGTTTAAGTGTGTATGGGTGTTTCCCTGTGCTGGGTTGCAGCTGGAAGGGCATTCGCTGTGTAAAACATACGCTGGATAGGTTGGCGGTTCATTCAGCTGTGGCAATCCCTGATGAATAAAGGGACTAAGCTGAGGGAAAATGAATTAATTAATTTAAAAATTAATTGAAAATATGTAGAAAGTATTTATTAAAGCTTGGACATAAATAATGGTATAAATGTATTATTATTAAATTCATTATACAAATTTCTCATAAGTTGATTTTACATTAATAATAATAAATTATAATTCATTTATTTAAAAAAATCTAAATTTAAAAATCTGCAACCACACTGACCTGAACTGAATCTTAAACACTGAAAACTGAACTACACTGTTTCAATTTACTATGATCTTCTATTTGAAGCTGCTTTGACACAATCTACATTGTAAAGGCGCTATACATATAAAGCTGAATTGAATTGAATGTAAATATTGTAGGAGTGCAGTTGTGGAAATCCATAAATTCCTGCATAAATAAATCAATAAATAAATATGCAAATAAATAAACAAGTAAATAAATCCATAAATTCCTGCATAAATAAATCAGTAAATAAATATGCAAATAAACGAGTAAATAAATCCATAAATTCCTGCATAAATAAACCAGTAAATAAATATGCAAATAAATAAAGGAGTACATAAATCCATAAATTCCTGCATAAATAAATCAGTAAATAAATATGCAAATAAATAAAGAAGTAAATAAATCCATAAATTCCTGCATAAATGAATCAGTAAATAAATATGCAAAGAAATAAAACAAGTAAATAAATCCATAAATTCCTGCATAAATAAATCAGTAAATAAATATGCAAATAAATAAACGAGTAAATAAATCCATAAATTCCTGCATAGATAAATCAGTAAATAAATATGCAAATAAATAAACGAGTAAATAAATCCATAAATTCCTGCATAAATAAATCAATAAATAAATATGCAAAGAAATAAATAAAGGAGTAAATAAATTCCTGCATAAATAAATAAACAAAAGCAAATAAAAAATGCTAATCAAGTTCCTGCATGAATAAAACAAAAAAATGTGCAAATAAATACATTAATGTATGTAAAAATATTTTTATTTTCATATTTATGCATGAATTCTTGCATTTTTATATGCATTTGTTTATTTGGATATTTATTTTGTTTGATTTATGCAGGAATTCTTGCATTTTTATATGCATTTGTTTATTTATTTGCAGATTTATTTTGTTTGATTTTTGCAGGAATTTATACATTTTTTATATGCATTTGTTTATTTATTTGCATATTTGTTCTGATTCATGCAGGAGTTTATGGATTTTTATATGCATTTATTTATTTGCATTTTTATTTTTTATTTATGCTGAAAATTGTGTTTTTTTATATGCATTCGTATATTTACATATTTATTTTGTTTAATTTATGCAGAAATTTGTGAATTATGATATACATCTGTTTATTTGCATATTTATTTATTGTTGTATTTATGCAGGAGTTTGTGCATTTTTATATGCATTTATTTATTTGCATATTTAATTTGTTTTATTTATGCAGGAATTTGTGCATTTATTTACTCATTTTTTTATATATTTGCATATTTGTTTATTTATTGTTTTTGCAAGTTTTGTCCTCCATTATTAACCCTTTTTAAAAATACAATTTTAAATATTTTTCTTATTTTAATTCGATTTATAATTAAAGGGGCAGTTCACATAAAAAGATTAATTCACTCCGCCTTCTCAAGTGGTTTCTTTCTTCTGTTGAACACACACACAAAAAATACTTTTAAAAATGTTGAAAACCGGTAACCATTGACTTTCATAGTAGTAAACAAATGAAAGTCAACAGGTTTACAACGTTTTTACCATTATATTTTGTGTGTAACAGAAGAAAGAAACTCAGATATATTTTGGGCGAAGTATCCCTTCAATATTGATTGGTAAAAATAATTACAAAAGCAATAATTACCGTAAATATCTTAAATTAACGCAGACATCAGGAAGTAGAGCGAGTTTGAGGGCTTTGCGGAAGCGCGTGCTCGCTCACGGGGATGTGCACAGGCACGCGCGTGACCCATTCCACAGTGTGCGCGCGCGTGGAAACCGCTTGAGGGACACGAGCAACATCACAAACCCTCAATAAACCGCATTGAGTAACTCAGTAGGGTGTTGAGGACACGGCCGGAGCTTTCATGACGAGCACGAGCGTTAAACACAGCCTGTCGCGCGCCGCGGATCACCTCAGGTAAGAAAACAGGTAAAGTTAACCATCCTAGATCATCCGCCCTACTAGCCGACATCTAGTCAGGGACTGACGCTGGATTAGAGATGAGCTGATCGGGTTTAAATCGGTTTAAACTGTAGGTCAGCAGAGACGGAGAGAATTATTATAATATGCTAATGGCGCGCAGATGCAGGATGACGTCAGCAGCACACGTGTGACGCGCTTCGGTGTGCTGTAGATTATTGTATCGATCGATTAATCGATGAGGATTAATACAGTTGATTGAGCGGTTTAACGGCTGTAATCCTCTTATTCTCTACTGGTGCACTGCTGGTGTAGTGTGTATACTAGTGACGCCTGAGGGCATAGTAGACATCAGAAGGAGGGGGATTTAAAAGGGGGCAGTTCACTCAGAAATCAACATGTGCTCATTTTAAAAACTGTTGAAAATGTGTGCCATTCCCGTGAGATTGCAATAGTTTTTAAATGTTAATATTAGTATATTAGTCTTAAGGATATCCGTAAGCTAGTAGGACAAAATGTGTGTTTAAAGTACTCATGAAATCAAAATTGACCATATTGTTTTTGTTAGCTCACATTGCTAGTTTTGTGGTCATTAATTCATCCGTGCATGTCATTAAGAATAAATAAATAGTTTGCCCCTAAAATCTTTCATTAAAATCTGAAGATGCACTTGTTTGTTTTCAAGGTAACTTCTCAGATTATGCTTGTCTGATGTAGTGGGCGTGGCTAAAATACTTACCCACGCCCCTCCTGCTGTCAGTTTTGACAAAATGCATTGACAACAATCAGAATTGGTGAGCAGGAGGAGTCTGTTAGGTTGTAATTACTCTCCCCAAATACTCATCTTTATGAATGAAATGCCTACTTTACTGCATCCAATCAGCTCGCAGTTAAAAAAAAACAAGCCACACCCACTGCTTTCTCATTTATTATTCTGTTTTTTGAAGCTGCTTCACAATACGGAAAAAAAAGTTGCAGCTTCTGGTTTATGCAGACTTTAAACTGGATATAAACCTGTTATTGATGTCGCTTCCGCCTAAATGGGTCAGCAGTTTTATATTAACGCCACCTTATACTTTAATTTCTCATCAAATCTTCTGACCAATCAAATGCTCTCTGATCTCTGTCATGCCTTGTCCCCTTCAAATCACTTCTCATTGGCTTTTCCTTTGATACGCTTACGCTTAACCACTCACTGGCAGAGCTGTGAGAAAAACAAAAGGCCATTGGCTGATTTTTAAAAGGGGAGGAGCTATTTTATTCACTGCCCTCTCTTCATGTTTCAGTTAAGATTTCGTCAAACATCGAGTAAAAAATGCACACTTAAAAGCACATTGGGAACTTTTAAAATGATAGTTTACGTTTAATTTGAGATTTTACAGTTTATTTACTCAGCCTCATGTATTGAAGAGTTTTTTCGGTAGGTTTGGTCTGTGTAACTCTGCCCACTGAAATTTTATATTTCCAGCTGTATTTCGTTTTTCATCCAAGTGCGTCCAGATTTTTTGGTTTTGGCCTAGAATTTTTATTTTGGTGTATTCCTTATATATATATTTGAACTGCTGCTTTGAACTGCAGCAGATCGTCTTGACCATGTCTACATGCCTAATTGCACTAAGATGCTGCCATGTGATTGGCTGATTAGAAAATTGCGTTAACGAGCAGTTGGACAGGGGTACCTAATAAAGTGGCCGGTGAGTGTATAGTAGGAATGCACCAGAATGAAAATTCTATATATATATATATATAAATATATATGCATGCATGTAACAGATAGAGTTTGGCCAGAGGGTCAGTAAATTAGATTTTCATGTTTGTCTGAGCTGCCTCTTTAACCAGGGCTGGGTCGGAAATGCTGCAGAATCCTTTTAAGATTTTATCTTTTAATTAACATTTGAAGTGTGTCATAACATCTTCACGCTGTAGTTAAGGGCAGGGCTGTTTTGCCGGCAGGGATTTGTGGGTTATTTCCTTCATTCACAAGGCTAATGATGAGTCAGCCAGAAGAACACTGGAGAAGTCAGGATTTAGTTTCATGCTTTACTTTAGGAATTTAAAAGATCTGATGCAATTTATTCTCTATATATTTTTCAACTTACATTTATCAATTTAATTTTCTAATTTTTCCGATTTGTTTTTATTGTGTTGTTTATTTCGCGTTTTTTTTATTTACGCTTTTTCAGATCTTAAATTTCTCTCGCGA